TCCTGGGCACAGGGCCACCGGAGGGATGGACTGTGGCCACAGTCGCCACGGGCACTTCGGCGCCGGTCAGCATCGGAGCCGCCATTACGGCTTGCCGCAATTGTGCTGCAGCGTGCTCACGTTGCAGCGCTGATCCGTCGGTCTGTCGAAGGAGCTGCTGCACTAGCCCCTCTGGCACTGTGAAGGAGTCCATGGTGCGATCCCGGACGAGCCCCCACTTGTCACGCTTGGCTCGGCTGAGCGGACACTTTCACATACGTGGTACACTCCTGTATTCTTCCAGCGCCATCCTTCACTCCCCGCCGTCCCTCGCTCCTCCCCGCGACTCGCGGGAGCGGGGACAAGTGTTGTCCCTAGGAATCCCCCCTAGGGAAGGAGTGTCCCCGCACGGTCCCGGTTGTCGCCGGCGCCACACACTCCTCACATTCCTTACAACATATTTGTCCGACCGTCCGTCCGTCGGTGCAGTTCCCCGCTACACTTGGTGCGAATTCCATTGGGCGCCAGCGCCACCATCCAAAATACGTCACGGTTCGATTGCGTGTGGCGTCAGTGCAGTTTTCAATGGAGGAAGAAATCCCCTCCACAGGCGAGCGTGTACTATCGCGCAATCTATTTAATGACGTGCGAACTGATCGAGAGCAACGAGAACAATGAAAGCGTGTCGCGTGGACCGTGCAGTATGCACGTCTCTGTCGTTCGGACGTTGTAGCTGGATGCAGGACGGGAAACCGACGAGGTGCAGCAGTTCTGATTTTTTTACGCGGTATATATTGCGCGGACCAGTGCATCATAAGTGTATTTCGGGTCTTTTTCGGAATCATTCTGCTATAGTTTGGTGAGGGCTCACAGCCGACAATGATTGAAAAGGACTTATTGAGCAACGGTAATGCTTTGTTGACAAACGTTTCACCCTTCTCCGTGTCGTTTAAACATATTGGCCTACGCTCAATGAGAATGAATCTGTCACGATCAGTTCGAGTAATGCACATAGTAAAACAAGTAAAAAATACTTCGTTCGAACCCATGACAGAGACCCAAATCAGTTGCCCCTTCCATAAGTTCATTGGAAGGTTGCGCCGGCATCGCTGTTACGCGGTTCCTGGATGCTGAATCTTTGCCGGTCGTTTCGCTTCTTCGCATCATTGTCGCTTTCGAGCAAGCGAACTTCAGACAACGAGAAGAGCATATTCTACCGATGACGACACGCGAAATCGCTGCCATTTGTAGCATTTCCTTAGACGGAAAACACTTTTCGCTCAAAAATTTCTCGCTTAATTGCTGTCCATCGAGCTGTAGGGGATGCCGAATCCAGTTGGGAAACGTACAACCACAAGCTGGTGACATTTAGGTCGCAGTGATGAATGAGCGACCAACACCATAAGGTTTTTCTATCGTAAAGGCGGTCTCGAAGCAATATAATAACTGTAACTCTTTTTCTGTCTGGGCGCCGCCGTATTTAACTGTAACTTTTAAGCAAGTTTATCGATTTTTTCAGTGCGCCGCCGTGTATAGCACTCATGCACGCGGGCCACGCGCGCATTGCGGCTGCCCGGGGGGCGTGCGGCTCTATGGAAAATGCGAGAGCTCCAGTGCGCACCGAGTCCGCACCCCTGAGACCAATGGAAGACGCTATTTGCCCACTGCAGCCGGACAGACCTATTGGCCAATTCTGTTTCTCGCGCAAATTTGGCGAAAACTAGACGGAACGTCATCTCTACGTCAATTCAGTATTCCCAGTCTATTTCTTTGTGGAAAATTATGCCGTGGGACGCAAACACTTCAGTTTCTCTTGTAGATTTAGTGGGAAAATTGACTTCACGTGTCTTAAACACCGATAGAGTTTTCCTACGAAGTTTAGCGGAAAGATTGGTGACCGGTGACTTGAACCGCAATTTAGTTTTCCTTCTAAATCAAGTGAAGAAATTGACGTCAGGTAACCTATGCACGAATTCTTCCTCGCTATATTTAGCGGGGAAAGTTTTGTCACATGACCTATGCAACAGCTTAGATTAACCGCTAAATTTAGTGGGGGATTTGACCTCACGTGACCTACTTTATCTCCTGACCCCACTTTCCTCGCATGGGGGTGAGAGCGTGATCATGTGACGCATGGCTCTCCCAACGAGCGGATATCTTCCACCGTCTGTCAGCTTAGCAGGGAAACCAGTAGAGAGGAACACCGACTTGTCGCACATTTGCGATGATTTAATTCTTATAGTAAAATTATTTAAATGCGCAACCCTCATCCTAACGTTTTTTTTTATATTATTATTATTTTTGTTTGTCTTAAGAGAGCGCTTACCGAACGAGTTCGTTTCTCTCACTGATCTCGGTTCAGCCATTCGCAAATTGTGACGTAAGGAATAGAGTCCAGAGATTTACCTGAGAATATAAGCGCGTATGATTGTCCTTGAAAAAAAGAAAAAGAAATGCAAAAGCGTCCGCACATAATTTATAACAAAAGGTCCGCTGACAATGTTTCGATAGAAAAGAGTTCGCGTAGATCTCATTAGCTTCTAATTCTCGAACGTTTCGGTGTAATATTTTTCTTTGGTGCTTTGTTACGCTGACCCGGTTCACATGCGCTAGTTCCGTTCGCACATGAAATCGAAATATAATCGGACAATTTTTGCTGGAAGAGAGCAAGCTGTTCGAAAACATATCCGAATGAAGCAAAGCAAGAGAACGGTTAAAGAATTATGCGCATTTCTTATAACCCTCTTATGCAAATATAGACGTCTGACGAATATTTTATGTTTTAGGGCACTTTATTTTAATGTCTCGATTTTTGTTTCCGAAAGGCAATCAAGCATGCATAAGAGAGCGTATGTGACACACGTTATTTCTTTATTCGCGAAGTTTTGTATGTCCCACGGTTAGTTCTGTTGAGGGAACTTAAGAATAATATCCTTTGGTAATTCCTATTGATTCTTAGAAATCACTGTTGAAAGAATAAAAAGGAATATATAAAAAAAAAACAAGTAGGGAACTGGCTGTGCGGAAATCGGACGGGGAGGCGAATGTGTGCGTGATACAAATTTAACGCCATGACCGTGGTGTCGAGAACTTTGGCCGAAGCGATCGAGTGTTTATGCGCTTGACTTTTCCAACTTCTTTTCCTTTTCTTTTTTGCGTTGAGGTTTTTTTTTTTAATTTACTTTTAACGATATTATGATCTGTCAGCACGTTTCCGCTGTTCCACCTTAGAAGCATTGAGAAAACAGAAGAGAAACTACACTCAACAAAAAAAAAAAAAAAAGAGGTAAAAGCAAAACAAAAACGAAGCGTTTTCCGGTTTCATTACGGTAATGCCAGCTTAGCACGGTGAGGAAAGCGCGATTTTCGTGTTTTTGTCTTGAGTGTACGTATGTGTGTTAAGGAAATCTTTTTCCCTAACGCCCCATAGGTTACAATGAAAACAAAATCGCGCACTGAGAAGTTCTTTCACCTTTCCTTAGTAAATCTCTTACTCGCCAGTCCGTACGTTTTCTTGTTCTTTTTGTGTGTGAGGCGAGGGGAAAGGGGAAATGGACTGTTTCTTGTACACTTACTTAAAATGACGACATACACTCTTACAAATTTGCTTCATCTAGCTATAATTTTAAGTGTTCAGAATTCTTTTTTTATTTCTTCACACGTCCACATCTTGCTTTTCTTCAATTTTTTTTTTTTACCCAGGTTCCTTTTTTTCTTTTACTTTTTCGCTATTTTTGTTTAACACGTGATTTTATTATTCGGCACCTTCTTGAGAGGGCGCGGGAGGAGAAAAAAAATAAAAATTGGTTCTACGGTCGCCATCGTTTGCTCTTTCTTTTTCTTTCAATACTTGATTGTTTTACACACGCCTTGCCTGAGAGCAAATGTGTCGCCTTTTTCGTTGTTATGTTGAATCGAGCCTCGTCCTTATATACCGTTATTAAAAAAAAAAAAATCATACGACGTGAAAGCGACTTTCTTGTTCTCTTTATTTATTTATTTTTTTTTTATAAGAGCGAGAGGGGTGTTTTTAACGGTCGAAGGAAAATGAGCTTTGCTTTAAAAATGGGGTTATCAGCGTGATGCAGACTCCATTAAGGCAAAGTTTATCGATGATTGTGATCTTAAAGGGTTCGACCAACATATTAAACAGAAATCAAGCTCGGCTTTGTTTAGAGCGTTTTTTTTTTTTTTCTTTGTTTTACATTGGCAGTTCGTTTACGCTTGCGTTCCCTCTTTAACGCTTCCAAAACCGAGGACTTTATTAGCTCCCTTTTTACTTCGAGGTATTATGTCAGTGAAATTTTCCCACGTGTATCGTGTTGCCGATGAGACATATGGGGCTTTCTGGATGCCTTTCAACATTCTGTACCTGTCTCTTAATGTTTGCTTTAACTTTTTTTCGAAGTAGTTAGATGCTTTTTTAAAATTAAATTTGTTGTGTCGTTGCTTCTTTATCAAGGTAAGCAACACGCAAGTGAAAATTGCCCCCTCTAACGTGTATCTTCTACATGCATGTTGTTTTGGTATTTAGAAAGCTTGCAATTGTACTGCCCTATGATATAGCACCTGGTGTCTCCGCTTGAGATGAGAAATTTGGCCAGTGCAGCACAATTACTACCTTAGGCCGCTGGCACACGCATGCTCTGTAGTTTTGTTCTATAGCAAAAGTGTCGTCGTTCTTGTAGTTTACTTATTCTTTGATATTTAAAAAAACAATATGCAGATTTTAACTTCTTGCGGTTCACTTGTACTGCAAGCGTCATGGAGTACATCATTTTTATCATATTTTCTAAAAACAATGGCTTATAATTTATGATGCAAGCAAGATAACCACTTGGGAAATGAAGCGACTTTTTCAGTCATTAATATTTTTTTTTTTAGAAACGGTTTTCTGAATGCATGTTTGTGAATTGGTATTGAGACAGAGATTGTGTTTTGCATGCACAGAATCGAATTAGACATGCAAATTTTCCTTTTTTTTTCTGACGACTTTTGTTTTGTGCTATGCTGTTCATTAGAGATCGACTGTGGCCACCCGGGCCACCTGCACAATGGCTACGTGGAGTTCCGCGTATCGACGCTGAACGCTAAGGCTTCGTACAACTGCTTCGACGGCATGAAGTTCCAGGGCCAAGCCAACAGCAGCGTCTGCCTCGACACCGGAAACTGGTCCAACCCGCTGCCCAAATGCCTCGGTGAGTAGGACGAGGTGCAAATTACTTTGGGGCCTGACATATTGACCGGGTGAAGAGGTACATTGTCCCCGGCGCCAAGCCCACCCCAATAGTTGTTGTTTTTAATAAGCTTTAGTTTTTTGGGTTTTTTTTTTTTTTTTTTTTTGCCCTCGGTACAATGTTTCCGCATCCATAGCCCAGAAAATACGCGTTCGTTTTTCCGGAAGGTGAGGAAATCACGCTTTTAAGCACGAACGCTGAAAATGACACCGCTATAAACTTTTTCTTTTTTTTAGAGAGGTTTTTGACAGGATTGAAACGGTAGAGAGGAGTTTCAGTTGTCGCGCCTCTAGTGTGAACTTCGGAAACTTTGAGCGTGTACGGATCTCCAAAGCACGACGAAGAGCAAAGATCGCTTGCCGGAGGCTGGGCACCCGCTAAAGAGCCATGTGCTTTCTCACCTGTGAGTGCATATACATGGTTTGCATAAACGCCTCTCAGTAGCCATTGAGGTGACCTTGCTGGCGTGCTCGTACATTCCTCAGCGCAAATTTAGCACCCCTAAAATGTTTTCTCTCGGATGATAAAAAAAAAAAAAAGAAACAAGTAGAAATGACTATCAGCGCGGTGCAATGACGTAATGTACAAGGCATATGTAAAAGGTGCATCTGCACTCGAACTTTAATGTCGTTACACAACGATTGAGCACGAGCACGGTTTGGAGAAGAGTGTTGTTTGAGCGTTCGATAGAGACTCGTATGCATTAACTGGATCTACGAAAGTTTGGGGTATGGGTTCGGGGCCCAGTCTGCTGAATCCGCGCCTTTGTTGTGTGCACACGTTTCGTGAAAAAAGAGGAGAAAGTAACCGGGCCTTGTTTGTATTCGGCGTCAACTTTTTTTTTTTTTTTTTTTTTGTGGGTTACATTGCCAAGGCTCTTGTAGTTCCCGCAGCGCTGTCGAGGGAACTTTGCAAGAGTGCACGCTAATCAGGGGCAAGACGAGGCCACCTTTTTGCCAAACAGTGCTGACTGCACCTACGTAGGTTACGCTAGCTTCTGCTGTAGGTTGATACGCTGTAAGCTACGCTAGCGTAGCCTACCCCGAAGCAATTTAGGCTGTGCCAGATAATGCATCATAAAATAGTCGATGCCGAGTATAATTTTGATATTGTTGACCCGATCCAATCCCAAAGCTTTTGTTTTCAATGTTCCTTTTCTGAAAGTTCAGCAGTAAAAAAATCATTGTGATATACGTGAACAAGATGAGTTTAGTCCTCAAGCAAGTTTACGTTAAGTTTGTCGCGGAGAGAAAATGTCAGACGTACGCGGAACTGAAAGTAATCTTTAATGTGGCGAATTTGTGCCCGTAACCGAGGCGAAAACGGATACCGTATATTCTGCGACGGCGACGGAAGAGTGACTGTCCCGAAACAGCACGTTACCACCGCTTTGAAACACGCGGGAGGTACAGGAATTTTCTGATCTAGAATACACGATTACAACCAAATATGAGATAAAACAATAAAATAAATTTGCAAAAGAAATTATAAAAGATACTGCGCCAAGCAAAGTTCGTACGCCATTCCTTTGTGTGACAGCCTTGTGCGTTGCTAACTTCCCCACGCGCAACGAACGCCTTATAATAAACGACACTAAACCGAACTAGAAGTATTTTATAAGTATATTTGAACAAGGAATGGAGTTAATATCGTATAAAAACGTAAGCTAGTGCACTCCCCCTCCCCCCCCCCCCCCCCCCCCCCGGCCGGTCTTTGAGAAGGACACACAGGCTAGGGATTAAAAAAAAAAAAAAATCGAGAGAAGTATAAATTTATTGAGCGTAAAATCAGCACATTTTGTAGGCTTCGGAATGCGATACTATATAACAATAGTCCAGGGCTAGGCAGTTAAATAGAAACAGAAAGAATAAACATAAGGGTGGACAAAACAGCACCGTCCCCATGTTTATTTTTTCTGTTTCTATTTAACTTCACCAAAGCGCTCAGGTCGAGCTAGGCAGTATTTCAATATAAATGTGTCGCAATAGTATATTAGAGATACTTTCGAGTATTTGTATCTCTATATCGAGATACACTGGAAAAATATATTTGTATCTCAGTAGTGAAACACATTTACAGGGTATTCTTTGTATCGCCATTCTTTGCGATACTTAACTATCTCGTTACATTTGTTTGCCGTTTTTTACGATATATTAAAATAATTGTTTGGTGCAAGGTACTTCATAATTTATATGAACCCGCCCTATAATATGAACCATCAAAGTAACCAACAATAAAAGAACGGGTTTATCGAAGGTTACTTCCAAGAATAACAGAATAACCTCCTTTCACAAAGACCTCCACTTTCTCCAATTTAGCAGAGTGAACGCTGTAAAGGAGTTGATTGGAGAGAACTTACGGCCATCTAGTCCCATCTCGCCCAACTGTAGGTTACTCAGAAGCATATAAGATGACAGTTTAAGGTGCGCCCTTAAAGTAAAAAAAACAAGGTTAATTTCGTGCAGACGCCTTTTGTCAAGCATGGCACGCAGTCTTTACCGTTCAGTAACTATGTGGTTCTCGGGGGGTGACGTGTTTTTTTGGGCGGTATTAAAGCTAAATAAAAAGTCCGAGGTAAAGAAAGGTTCATACAATCACGCAAGAGGAGCGCAAGCATAAATTACCCTTCATATTCGCCACGAACTACACCCTTCCCACGTAGCACCATTCGAGAACAAATGTATTTCTATAACTCCATTCCCGAATACCTATTGGGGTATTTCTGCCGAGCCCTGCAATACGTGCATTCACGTTGAACCGCGAGACGTTCCTGTAGAGCGTGCTTTGCCTGCCTAACTCCGGCGTGATGCGAAGAAACCGAAGCTGCAAAGGCGTCTTGACTGGCATCGACGGCAGTATATTACGGTATATACGTTTTGCAATTTACGTAGGTAACAATAACTACGCGGAGTGTTTAACCGGGATCAAACCGAACCGAAACCCGGATCGGAACTGTTATTTTTAGCCGAACCGGAACTGAACCGAACCGAAATCTTCGCCGCCATCTTGAAACTGAACCGGAGCTCAATCGGAAAAAGAAATATAAAAGTAACCGTTTTAAACCGATTCATGGTTTTTTTTTTTTTTTGTAGCACAAAATAAAGATTTGAGAATACGAAAAAAATTGGCAGCTTTATTATTGATCAAATCGTCATATACAGAATTGCAATGTATCAGAAATTATTGGTTTTCGTGGTGCTCTTGTATTGACACTAGGATTAATCATGCGTCACGTGACGTCATGGTATCAAGACATGCTGTCAAGTAATGTCACGTCACGTCGCTCCGTGACGTCACGTGACAAAGTCATGTGACTCACTGCATTAAGTTGGTATAAATTCAGAACGTCACTATGTTCATTAGCGTTGTTTACACCGTGATGTCACATAACGTTGTGACATACTCAATTGACCTGAGACCGAGTACAGTGCACTGGTTCATGACAGTTAGCATCGCCAAACATTCGGATAATGGCTAGTGTTCAATCAAAGATAATAATAGCCGAACTTGTACAATGTCTGAAGCACAGCCCATGCTCTACGCTTTGCCAACCCAGCTACATTACTATGAACGCTGACGTTTTATAATCAGCATCAAATCACGTGACCGCTTCTTCTAATCGCAAGTTGCGAAGGAAAAAGCTGTCTCTTTTTTTTATTTTTTTTATTTAGGAAATACTGCGGATGGTTTTCCACCATCCTAGCAGGAGAGGGTTACAACATGTTTATAAGAAAGGAATCAAAACTATTGGATGTTGAAGCGTTCACGCAGTCTGACGGCAGTGAGTTCCAGTCTTCAATGGTTCGTACAAAAAATGAGTACTTAAATAGATTATTTCTAGGAGCATATTGTCGAACATTTTTTTAGTGGTTTAGCCTTGCTGAGCGCTGAGGAGGTGGCTGAATATACAAGTCTTTAATTAAGCCAGTTTCGTTGTGATAAATTTTATAAAACAAACTTAATCTTGCAAATTTCCGCCTGGCTTCGAGAGATTCTAGCCCACATCTATTCAACATTTCAGAAACCGAGGAGAGGCGCCTAAAATCAGAACGAATAAATCGTGCACTTAGTCGCTGAATCCTCTCCACTTTTTCTATAACTTTCTTTAAATATGGGTCCCACACGATTGACGCATATTCTATAACTGGGCGAACTAGGGCTTTATAGGCTGAAAGTTTTACAGTCCAATTGCACGCTCCCAATTTCCTTCTTAAAAAACACAGTTTTTGTAGGCCTTGGCGCAAGTATTGTCTATGTGGGTGTCCCAGCTAAGTTTCGTGTTAATAGTTAGACCTAAGTATCTTACGTCATTCACTGATTCAATGAGTTTATCGCGGACATGATACGTATATTCGAGAGGAGATTTCTTGTGTGTTATTGTAAGAGCGCATGTTTTCAAGTAGTTTATAACCATCTGCCACCTCTCACACCAGTCAGCAATTTTACACAAGTTTTCGTTAAGCAATAATTGGTCCGAGGTGTTAATGACAGCAGTATAAATCACACAGTCGTCTGCAAACATTTTCCCAGCCACACCCGAGTCAAGGTCGTCAGCTATGTCATTGACATATATCAAGAACAAAAGGGGTCCCAAGACAGACCCTTGGGGAACACCTGACAGGACATCAAGATTTTGCAATTGACAACCGTTAATTTCTACAAACTGCGTTCTGTTCGTCAGATACGCAGAAATCCAGTTCACAAGGCGGGGAGAAATTCCTACACGCTGCAGTTTTTTTAGTAGTAGATAGTGCGGTACCCTATCAAAAGCTTTTGACAGATCCAAAAATATCGCATCAATTTGTTTCCTTTTGTTGATAGCATTGGGGAAGTCATGTACAACTGATACGAGTTGAGTCGTGGTTGATAGCTTTTTTCTGAACCCATGCTGAAAGCTGGCTAATATGTTATTGGATTCTAAAAACGAAGTTATGTGGCTGGAAATGATGTGTTCGAGCAGT